GTGGTATATGCCTGTAATTCAGCTACTCAGGAGGCTGAGGCAGTAGGATTACAAATTCAAGACCTAGCTGGGTTATCAAGTGAATTCCAGTCTAGCCTGGTCAATTTATGAGTCCCTGTCTCAAAACTGAAAGTAAAAACGATGAGCTGGGGCTGGTCATGGTGGTGAACACCTTTCATCCCAGCAAAGGAAGAATTCTGTGAGTTTCAGGCCAGCCTGATCTTCATAGTGAGTTTCAGGATAGCCAGGCTATGTAGTATCTCAAAAAGTTGGTGTGTGGGTGTGGTGTGGTAGGGGAGGAGCACTGAGAGATGGTTAAGAGCACTGATTGCTCTTCCAAAGGACTCAGATTTGATTCCCAGCACCCACAAGGCACTCCAGTTTCAGGGGATCAAAATGCCATCTTCTGACCTCCTTGGGCACCAGGCTCACATATAGTGCATAAACATACATGCAGGCAAAACATTTGCACACATAAAATTAAATTAAATTAAATTAAATTAAAAACACTTCAAAGTAAAAAAGGGCTGGAGATGTAGCTCAGTACTTAGTATGCAGGAGACTATGGGTTCAAGTCCCAGGACTGAAAGGAGAAAGATAGAGAGGATTAAGATGTGTTTGGTAATATAGACCTGCAATCTTAATACTTGGTATGTAGAGGCAGGAGGACCTGAAGCTCAAGGTCCTACAAATCAAGTTCTAGGCCACCCTGGGCTGAGACCCTGCATCAAAAAAGAAAGAAAAAAGAAAAACAAAGAAAGGAAGAAAGAGAAAAAGAAAGAAAGAAAGAAGGAAAGAAAGAAAGAGAAAGATTATTTTAATATCTTCCTATTATCATTCCTCAGTATGAAATTATCAGATTAATATATATTTTTTTTAAAGATTTATTTATTTATTATATATGAATACACTGTAGCTGTCTTCAGACACACCAGAAGAGGGCATCAGATCTCATTACAGATGGTTGTGAGCCACCATGTGGTTGCTGGGATTTGAACTCAGGACCTCTGGAAGAGGAGGTCAGTTCTCTTAACCTCTGAGCCATCTCTCCAGCCCCCAGATTAATATATTTTTGATTATATTGCATAAATGTACTTAATTTTAAAAATCGTTGTCTTGGAACTAGAGAGATGGGTCAGTGATTAAAAGCACTTGCTGTTTTTTTATTGAACCCAAGTTCAATATCCAGCACCCACATGGAGGTTAATAACCATCCTAACTCTAGCTCCAAAGGCTCTAATACCCTCTTCTGGTCTCCACAGGCATCAGATGTGCATGTGGTACATATACACGAAGATTCATATACATAAAGATTTTTTTTAAAGTCACTATTTGAATTGCTATTTAAGTTTCATTTTAGAAAATCATGAAATGGCCAGGTGGCCCAAGCTCCTTTAAAAAAAAAATTTTTTTTTTTTTTTATTTGAGACAGAGTTTCACAGTGTAGCTCTGGGTAGAACTCAAGAGATCCAGTCACCTGCTATAATATACTTCCTGAGTGATGAGATTAAAAGCATAAACCAGCATGTCCAGTCTGGCTCAAATCTTTATTCCTAGTATTCAGGAATCAGAGGCTTCCACAAGTTCCAAACAAGCCTGGTCTATATCATATGACTCTGACTTAAAACAAACAAAAGCATATGAAAGAAATTTTTTATTAAAATTAAGACAAAATTTATCATTTCTGAAATGGTTCTTTTTTTTTTTTTTTTTTTGGTTTTTCGAGACAGGGTTTCTCTGCATAGTCCTGGCTGTCCTGGAACTCACTCTGTAGACCAGGCTGGCCTCGAACTAAGAAATCCGCCTGTCTCTGCCTCCCAAGTGCTGGGATTAAAGGCGTGCGCCACCACCGCCCGGCTCTGAAATGGTTCTTAATGTACTTTTGTCATGCACTGACAATTACAAAATCAAAACAGCGATCAATTCAGAAAAACATTGATGATGCCATCTCCTGCAATATCAAATATTCTGCCAAAATTTAATTCTTTACAAAAAAATAAGGCCATATATTTGTCTCATTTGTATGCAAATGTATTTTCATTTTTGGTAGATGATAAAGCTGTACGCATATCAAAGAACTATTTTTAGAAAGATTCCTTATGATTTTTCAGCAAATGTTTGGTTTGTATACCTATATTCTCAGAGTTGTGTAAAAACTTATCTGGCTAAAAGTAGTCATGATTGGAGGGATGGCTTAGCACTTACGAGCACTTTTTGCTCTTCTGGAAAACCCTAGTTTGATTTCCAACACTCATACTGGGCATCTCATAACTGCCTGTAATTCTAGCTCCAGGAAAACCAATACTTTCTGGCCTCTGTGTACACCCATGCATATATACCTTACACACACACATACACACACACACACACACACACACATACACACAGAGGAAAAATTTAGTATCTTAGTAAACAAACAAACAAACAAAAAGAAGGAGTTACAAGAAATCCTAGGTCTAGAAAACTTGTCTAGGTATTTCTGCACCTCTGTCATCCTCTAACTGCAAAATGTATTCCAAGCTAAAATAGAGAAGAATTGTCAATATCAACAAAAGAGATCCATGGAGTGACAAGTGGGTATTAGAATTTGTTTTCTACCAATTTCTATCCATATGCCCCTCTTTCACTGTCTCCCACTCATCCCTTCCACCAGGAACAAGATGGTTTAAGAATGATTCACAGTAAGACCTGTTGATGTTTCCACTAAAAAGATGTTTCATTGTGGCACACAAACTTTCAAGGTTGGAGACACAGCTGTCAATGAACCAATGAAGAAGTCAGTACTGACAGGAGTGGGAAATCCCAAACAAAATAACGTTTACATAATCACCTAAGGGGTACCAATGTCTATGTTTTTTAAAAACTGTGAGATCACAGTCATTGTTTTTGTGAACAATTGCACAAAAAAGTTAAGCCAAGTATGAAAGCACACAGGAAAGGTTATTTATTCAGAAAAAGGATATACTTAAGACAGGAGATAGGAAACCTTTTTTTTTTTAATCTTATCTTGTTATCCCAGCAGCTTAAATTTCCTTAAAGGTTAAATTAAACTTAAGAGAAATTAGCTTAGAAAATAAAACACTTGCCAAATAGCTGTGTGATTCCTAAGCCTTAAATCTGTAAATTCCTAGTACTCGGGGGTCACAACCACCTCTAACTCTAGTTCCAGATGATCCAACACCCTCCACCCTCTTCTAAGCTCTGAAGGCACCGGACATTCTTGTAGTGCACACAAATTTCATACACATAAGATAAATCTGAAAAAAAAATTTCTTCACTATATTAGTAGCACAGAATATTTTTCCAGATTTTTATTATTTTTAAGTGTGTGTGTGTGTGTGTGTGTGTGTGTATTAGAGAAAGTGCTCAGAGACCAGGCTTGTCAGTTCCTTTAGAACTAGAGCTATAAATGTTTATAAGCCACCTATTGTGGGTGCTGAGAATCAAATTTGGGTCCTTAGCAAGAGTAGTACATGTTTTCACTGAACATTCCTCTGACCCAACAATCTTTCTTTCCTAAGTAGTAATACAATAAGGACAATCAAAACAACAATAGGAGATACTGCTTCATGAAGACTGAGGTGAAAATAAAGGGTTTTTTGAAGTCCAGAACGCACTTTTTAAAAGGTGGTGTTCTGGTGTTAGTAGATAAAGAGAGGACGAATACAGGGTTTTTTTCTTTCATCATTCACCTGCCATAGAAGGCCCAAGAAATCCTCGACATTTAGGAGTCCTAGAAAGATAATTCTTTTACCAGCCTAAGAAAAATCTCCAAAATTACTCTGCAGACATCCCCCCCCCGCCAATTTCATGTCCCTTAACACCATTCTTAACATATACATGAAATCTTAGCTGAAGAAACTGTATGATTACATAATTACATATACAGGAGAAACTTGGTATTTCATTATTCCTCTAAAACTATACTTAGTTTTGGTTGAAAACATTTTCTTGTGAAGCTGACTTAATAAGATGCTCAGTTAAGAGGTGAGACAGTATTAATAAAGACTGATTCGTTTTGTTTACTATCATTTATTATTTAATACATTCTTCCCAGTCCTCTCTCAAAGGAAGAGAGAAAAATCTATACTAGTGCAATCAACTAGGGATGCTATATTCCAAAGAAGGTACTCTGAAAAGCTATGACCTAAGTGTTTAGCACTGACACAAATAAAGTTCTGGTGGTAGGTATATGTCTCACCCTTTAAAAAAAAAACCACCCTCAATTCAGATCCCACGGAAGAAAGCAGAGTGAAAATTTCAGTCAGTCATTTCTCCCAGCCTGCTCTTACATTTCGCATTCCCTAGTCCCTATCATCCTTCAACTGCCTGGGTTCCCAGGGTACGTTCCCCAGCTCAGTCCCGCACTGCGTCACCAAACCCGTCAAATGGGGGCCATGCTCCTCCAGTGACACCTCGGCGGTGACTCACGGTGCGCCCCTCTTGGGGAGGACTGTCCAACTACGTCAACTCAGGAATCGGGCAGGGGTATCAACAAAGCATCAGGCCGCAACCCAAGCGTCCAAAGGTCCTCGCTAGCTCGCGGCAATGGCACTGCCAAATCCACGGGATTCCAAAGGGTGACTCGCTCGTCAGCGCAGAACCAGGGGGGAGGGGTGGCGCCGACCCAGAGCGGTCGGGATCGATCCCGCTGGGCCTCCCGCCCGAGCGGACCTCGTCGTCGCCCCGCGGTCCCGACTCCTTCATGGAGCTGCCAACCACCGCATCGGCCGCCAGGGCCAAACTTCACGAACCACTGCACAGCCCGGTCCCGCGCGCCATGAGCCGCCCGCGAGCAGCGGAGGGGTCCGGCCTTCTGGGGCCCGCTCCGGTTACGCGGACCCAGCACCCAGGGGCTTAGCCAGAGCGCGGAATTAACAACAATGTCATTATGTCGCCCACGAGTGCCCGTCTAGCCGGAGCGCGGCTACTGCAGCCGACTTTTTGTCTGGAGCCCGCACCTCGCCTCCCTAGCGCCTCCGCAGCCAGCCCGGCCTTACCCGCCAGCTCGTCGGGCTCTAGCCCGCTGTCCGCATCGATCCCGCACAGCACGAAGTAGTGCGCGAAGCGACAGGCGGCTGAGGAGGACCCCGAGCCCGGGCCCGGCGCCACGCCGCTACCACTCATCCCGCCGCGCTGCCCGTGCGGCCGTCGCTGGGGTTCGCGGAGGAGGCTCTCCGGCGTGAACCGATGAGAAGCCTCGCTGAGAAGCCTCGCTGAGAAGCGTCGCAGGCTTCCCTCGCGGAGGAGGCCACCGCGCCGCTCGGACTACGGTCTCAGCCGCGACCCTAGGACGACCCCGGCGCGCCCATGGCCGCGCAATCGCCGCAGCCGGGATCCTTCTAGACGCTGGTACCGGGGAAGCGGCCTCGGGCTCGCGCGCGGGCGGGCGGGCGGGATTCCGCCGCGGCGGGGGAGGGGCGCGCAGGGGGAGTGTCAGCTAGGGAGGCCCGCGCCGCCGCGGCTGCGCCCGCCGGAGCGCAGCGTCTGGCGCCCGCGGGTCAACTGAACCGCGCTGCGCGACGGGAGCGCCCATAAAGCTCGGAGGCGCGCGGTCCGGGGCGCGCACCAGTGAGTTCGGAGGGATCGGGAGCGCGTCAGGGTGCGTGCTCGCCCGCCTTAATAGTGAGGCAACCTCTCTTGCACCGTGCAGCCCCCAACAGCCGGTTAGAGCGTGAGCCGCAGAACAGGAGCCTATCTTCCAGAGAGGATGTCGCCCAACCCAACCTAAACAATAACGTAGCTTTGGAGAAGAGAGACAGCACGCTGAGGTCATTTCCCACAACGTCTGTACCATATTTTTAAACTGCCATGCAGATGCTTAAGCCATTTTAAGATCCTAGTCCCCGGCAGGACGTGGTGACTCACATCTATAATTCCAGCGCTCTTGTGACTGAGGCAGGAGGATCCGGAGTTGGAGATCAGCCTGTCTACCTTGTGAGACTCCATCTCAACACGCGCGCGCGCACATACACACACACTCAGGCTGGGTAAATAACAACCTGGGTAATTGACCCTTAGCTTCTATCCTACCCTCCAATAATCTTCCAAAACCCTTGTAATGACTTCTCTTACTTTCTTAGCAGGGTTGGTTGTACTTGGGGTGAGGAGTAGTTATGCTTCCTGGTTCATTCTTTCCAGTATCTAAGAACCCTGGGTCCCACTTATTTAATGAATGAAAGAATGATGATAATCTAGATAATATCAGGTTGGTGCTACTGGGAAAATATCGAACTTTGGTATCTGTAATGTTTATGGACATTCGATGTTATGCAATAATTGCTTCTTTTATAGAGTATACTCAAAAATACTTTACTGAGTATTTCTATTTTTGTTGGTGTCTTCTTGCAGTATGTTAGATTCTAAGCTAGTCAAACAAATACAGCAGAAAACGAATTTATTGTTTGTACTAATCAAGAAACACACTTTCTGCTGGGCAGTGGTGGCACCTGCCTTTGATCCCAGCACTTGGGAGGCCAGCCTGGTCTACAGAGTGAGTTCCAGGACAGCCAGGGCTACACAGAGAAACCCTGTCTCGAAAAAACAACAAAAAAACAAAAACAAAAAACAAACAAAAAAAACAACAACAAAGAAACATACTTTCTGTTCATTTGAGCAGCAACTGATTTATAAAATTGTAAGCATTGTTTTATTAACATATATAGAATACTGGATTTAATTATGACATTTCCATACATGTAATTTCTTGTTTTGTTTTTGTTTGTTTGAGACAAGGTTTCTTTGTGTAACAGCTCTAGCTGTTCTGGAACTCAATTTGTAGACCAGGCTGGCCTCAAACACACAGAGATCCTCTTGCTTCTGACTTCTGAGTGCTAGGATTAAAGGCATGTGTCACCACAACCCAGCTTCATGTACATATTTTGATTATATCGTTTTATAACCCTCTCCTGTACCCTCTGCCCCATTCCCTCTAATCTCCTTCTTTTTCACACCGAGTCCTTCTTCTGCTTTCATGTCTTTAATCTTTTTGGTGATCTAATAAGTTCACCAAACTTATTTTAACTTTAAAGACTTTTAAAAATGACATTGTGTGTATGTGTGTGTGTGTGTGTTTCTGTGCTTATGTACAGGTCAGGGGGTAAGTTTCAGGAGTCAGTTCTCTCCTTCCATGATGTGGGTCTTGGAGATCAAACTTGGATAGTCAGTCTCGGTGGGAAATATCTCCTTATCTGCCTAGGCATTTTTCTGATCTATGAGTTTCATTAGAGTTGATTAAGGAGATTGGGTGAGCTGTTATTATGGGAGAATGGGCACTTTGCTAGTTATTACATCACTAAAGAAAATTTCTCCCTTAAGGGCCTGGTGTGTGTTTGTGTGGGTTGGGGATGGCACACCTTTAATTCCAACACTCAGAAGACAAAGGCAGGTGAATTTCCATGACTTCGAGGCCAGGCTGGTCCACAGAATGAGTTCCAGGACAGCCAGGGCTATGTTAGAATACTGCCTTCCATTCTGTTGGGAGTCCCTACCACAATTGCCGCCTGAATGTATAATCTTAAGCGTTAATCTCAGCTTTAACCTCCAATTAGCATAAAACATGCCAAGCTGTCACAATTCCAATTTCTACAAGGAAATCTGGAGTAACATTTTCTTATGCCAAGATTTTGGATTTCTAGGAAAATCTTATCATAACAAAGGCTATTTGGAAAGCTATATCCCTCCTTATTTAGCTTTTTATATTTTATTACATTTTATTTGTTTTGTGAGAGGTGTGTGTGTATTTGCTTGCTTGTGGAGGTCAGATGACAATTTGTAGGAACCAGTTTTCTCCCTTCTTTATTGTAGATCCTAGGAAATGAACTCAACTTGTCAGACTTGGCAGCAGGTGTCTTCACCTGATGAACACTTTGCCAAACCCCTTATAGTTTTAGAGAAGGGATCAATTCGTGTCAATCAAAGTTTGGTAGTATAGCAGCTGATGTAAATTTTTGTTTAAATTATTTTCCATCTTATATATGTCTACTACTGTTAAGTATCCTCAGCTGGAGAGATGTTAAAATGTTTCACATACACACACACACACACACACACACACACACACAAACCTTACAAGACTGTTATTAAAGAACTCATACAACTCAATAATATAAAAAACCAAACCATTCCATTTTCAAGAGTCTGGTCTGTTCTGTATCTACTATGTGGTTTCTGGGGATTGAACTTGCCTGCTAACCAATACAATTAAATTTGTGGTGTGTGTGTGTGTGTGTGTGTGTGTATATATATATATATATATATATATATATATATATATATATATATATCATGCATGTAGTGCCCAGAAGAAGGCAGCAGATCCCTTGGACTGGAGCTACAGGAGGTTGTGAGCTGTCTGATGTGGATGCTAAGAATCAAGCTAGGTCCCCTACAAGAGCAACGTGTGCATATAAACACTGAGCTATCTATCTAGCCCTACAATACAAATTTTCTTTTGAGACAGGAGGTTTTCTCTATGTATTCCTGGCTGCCCTGGATCTTGCTATGTGTACTAGGCTGGCCTTGAGCACAGAGATATGCCTTGCAAGGTTGTTACCTGCTGGAGGTTGGGAAAAGGCTCCATTTAGTGCCTCCGCCCTAGCTTCTGGTTTCTGCCAGCATCACTGAACATTTGGCGGCTGTCTTAGTAAATGCTCTATTGCTGTGAAGAAACAGCATGCCCACAGCAGCTCTTATAAAGGAAAGCATTTAATTGGGGCTGGTTTACAGTTTCAGACGTTAGTCCATTATCATCATAGTGAGAAGCGTGGCAGTCATGGATGCTGGAGAGGTTGCTGAAAGTTCTACGTTTTGAACAGCAGGCAGCAGAAAGAGAAAAACTGGGCCTGGCTTGAGGATTTGAAACCTCAAAGCCCATCCCCAGTGATACATTTCCTCAAACAAGGCCACACCTCTTAACAGTGCCACTCCCTAGTGACCAAGCATTCAAATCTGTGAGCCTATGTGAGCCATTCTTATTTAAACCACTACATTACACTTAGTCTTATCATAATACAGAAATGCATTCAGTCCAACTTCAAAAGTCCTCATAGTCTATAACAGTCTCAACACTGTTTAAAAGTCCAAAGTCTCTTCTCAGAGTCATGGCCATCTCTTAACTGTGTAAAATCAAAATTAAAAAACAGATCACACTTCCAGTGTACAGAATATATATTACCATTCCAAGCAGGAGAAAAGGGAGCATAGTGAGGAAACACTGGACCAAAGGAAGACTACAAACCAGCTAGGCAAACTCCATACTCTGCATCTCCATGTCTAGTGAAGATCTTCAGATCTTCATCTCCTTTCAGCTCTGTTGACTGCAACACACTTCTCTCTCTTGTGGGCTTGGTTCCACTCTCTGTTAGCAGCTCTCCTTGACGGGTATCCCAAAATTCTGAAATCTCTAACATCTTGGGGGATCCAAGGCAATCCAGGCTTCACCTTCACAGCTTCTCTCAATAACCTCACTGGGCCTCCATGCAGGGGCATCCCTGATACATGCCTGGCTTCAGCAGCTTTCCTTAGCCAGGGAGGGAGATTCTACAACCTCTTTCTTGTATCTTTGACTCTAAAGTTAGAACCACGTGCCTGAAGCTGCCAAGTCCTGCTGCTTGCTGGGGCTGAAACATGGCTGCCTTGTTCAAATACATTTTTTATTAGCTTTCTTTTTTTGATATTTTTCTTTCACTGCCTAAGTGTGGCTTTATCTGGAACTTTAGACCAGGCTGGCCTTGAGATCTGACTGTCTCTGTCTCCTGACTTCTGGGAATAAAGTCATACACCACCAAACCAGGTCCTAAATTTTTTAAAATTCCTTTTTACAGGTTAGAAGATTAGCTGAGTGAGGTCCTACTCTGATCACCACTTCCTTTATTCTGTTTAGCATCAGGCTTTTCTTTATCTTCTTGAGCACAAGACTAAGCACCATTTCACCTCCTGTTGTCTCCGTCCTCCTCAAACTGTATACTTTGTATTTTTCCTTGCTCTTCTTGCTCCTTTTCATTATACATCTACATAAACGTGGCCCCTAAAAACCAAGCAATACAGTCAACACTAGGCTGTTTTGAAATCTCCTTTCCCAACGCTGTTAATCTAAAACTCTTCACTTTAGCCTCAGGCAGATTTTTTTGGACAAGGGCAGAAAACAGCCACATTCTTTACCAAAATATCACAAGAACACTCTCTTTATCACTTACTAATATTCTCCTCTGAAACTTCTTGAGCTGGCCCCCCAGGTCAGATCACTCTCAGCACCACTGACTTTTATGCTCTACTAACATGTCCCACTGAGTCCTACATAAAACATTCAACTTCTTTCACAATACAAAGTTTCAAAGTCTACATTCCTCCAAAGAAAAGCATACTCAGGCCTATCACAGCAATAACCCCACTCCTGGTACTAACTTCTGTATTAGTCAATGTTCTATGGCAAGTCTTATAAAGGAAAACATTCAGTTGGGACTGGCTTTCAGTTCAGAGGTTTAGTACATTATTGCCATGGCCAAGAAGCTTGGGAGTAAGCAGGCAGACATGATACTGGAGTGGTAGCTGAGAGTTCTTTATCCATATCTGTAGGCAACAGGAAGAGAGAGGACACTGGGCCTGACTTGAGGCAGGTCTTTCCAAGCCTACAGCAGGTAACACCCTTGCAACCATCTTGACATTAACATTTTGAAATGTGTTTCACTATGTTGCCCAGGAAGCTAGTGTTGAAGACTATGCTAAAGCCATCCCCCTGCGGTCTCATATGTGTCAACAGGTTTGCATTATTACCTATTGTTGAAACAAAGGGGTGTCTCACTGTATAGTCCAGGAAGCAATCTTCCTGCTTCAGCCTTCCAAGTGCTAGGATTACAGGTATGAGTCACTTTGCCTTGCTAACAACCAGCTTTTAATGATTCTTTAAAATCACAGAAAGTTCACTCATTTATTGTCTCCCACTCTGAATTCAGAGGCATCTGTAATTAGTCACTCTGTTACAGTATTATTATTTCAGGTATATTAACTGTGTCGATCTGATTCAGCTACTCTTCACAAAGTACTATAAACTGTATGGCTTATAAACAATGGAATTTATTTCTCAAAGCCTGGAGGTAGGTAGTCAAAAATGTAGGCACTGGGAGATTCTGTCAGGTAAGGACTGTTTTCTATTCCTATGTCATGTGTTTTTAGCATGTTCTCACATGGGGTAAGGGATAGCTATTCTCCGTTGTAAGAGCACTCATCCCATTTAGAAGGAGTCTACCTTGGTAGGGCATGGTGTCATGCTTCTGTAATTATAATATTTGGGAAGTGGGAGGAGGGAGGGTCAAGTGTTCAAGATCATCCTTGGCTACACAGCAAGTTTGAGAACAGCTTAGGCTACATATCCTCCCTCCAGAACGAGAGAGAGTCTA